CTAACAAATAACTCTTCAATGAATGATAATGTAGTGGTTATTGCTGTGAATTTAAAACATGGAGGTTGAGTTTAAATGTGCTAAATCTGGTAATTTGTGGACAAGGACAATGTCAAAGCAGGAGGTGGTATTCGTTCTTCTTGTTCCATACTTTTGGTCACTTTTCAGAGGTACATATTATATAAAGTTTCTCCTGTATAACTGCACATTACCTTAATATTTATGACATAAAATTAATTCTGCACATGAAGGAAAACAAACAGAGGGAACATTGCTGCTGAGGATGTTAATTTATCTTCCCAATCCCAATATAGATCAAATTTCCTTCTGGTAGATCTAACAAACGTTACAAAAGTATTCATTGTATAAGTAAATGTAAGGCCAATAAACTAATTATTGTAGTAAATTACTTTTATGAGGGTCATTGTTTTCAGTCAGCACTTTACCGTATACACTAAATCTGCAGTCAATCTAGTTACTATACCCTTAGACTAAATTTGTTTTCACATATGAATGATTTTATTCTATTAGTAAATGTAGGCAATCAAGGAAATGACCTTTGCTCAGTCACGAGGCAACAGTACTTAGTGGAGCTCACTGCCAGCAAATACCATCTAACCACAAAAGTATAAAGCGTTTCCTCATTTCTGATTAATGGAGTCAGTAAGTTTAAATGGTTTTAAATCTGATTGTTATCAGCAAGTGAATAAAAGAAAATCAAATACTACAAAGTATTCAACAAAACCATGGACAGAATCTTAGAGGGATCTGAATGATGTGGGTTACGGTGAGATTTGTGGCAGAATCTGAAGAGAAATCCAGTGGAGCCAGTTTTGCCACTGGGAGCATCTCCTTCCAACTTTCATGATATTCACAAATGGCATGGCATGATTTTCACTAGGAGTGGTGAGTTGCCAATCAAGAGTGATTAATGCATACTAAATACTTTGTTGACTCACTGTTGTCATTTAGCTTTCAATCTTACAGAATTTGTCAAGCAAGCCAGACATGAAGAAAGCTTGACAATGGAAACCACAGCAAGTACCTGACAAATTCAGCTTGCCACTTGCTCCAAATGACTTTCATATTAGGTACCAACATCTCAGGGTGTGCTCCATGGATACCAGCATCTGATATGTGCCAACTTCTAAGGAACCTCGTGGCACATCTGCTATCCACTTTCTTTTAGCATTTATTACCCGTCCATACTAGCACCTGAGAAGATGGTGGTGAGCTGTCTTCTTGAACTACTGCAGTCCACCTTCTATGGGTGCCATGAGAGAGAGAATTCCAGGATCTTGACCCAGCGACAGTAAAGGAACAACGATATAGTTCTAAGACAGGATCATGAGTGGCTTGAAGGGGTACTTGGAGGGTGGTGTCCCCACGTATCTGTTGCTGTTGTCCTTCTAGATGGAAGTGGGTTGGAAGGCGCTGTCTGAGGAGCTTTAGTGAGTTTCTGCAGTGTATCTTGTAGATAGTACACACTGCTGCTACTGAGCATCAGTGGTGGAGGGAGTTTGCGAATGTAGTCAATCAAGCAGGCTGTTTTGCCCTGGATGGTATCAAGTTTCTTGAGTGTTGTTGGAGCTGCACCCATCCAGGCAAAAGTGAGGAGTAATTCATCACACTCCTGACTAGTGCCTTTCAGATGGCGCTGAGGCTTTGGGGAGTCAGGAGGTGAGTTACTTGCCTCGCCTATTTCTACCCTCTGACCTATTCTAGTAGCCAAATGTTCTATGTGGTGAGTCCAGTTGAGTTTCTGGTCAACAGTAATGCCCAGGATGTTAATATTGTGGGATTCAATGATGGTAACACCATTGACTATCAACAGGTGGTGGCTAGATTGTCTGTTATTGGTGATGGCCATAGCCGGCCTGTTACTTTGCCTCTTGCAGGCCAAGCCTGGATATTGTCCAGATCTTGTTGCATTTGAACATTGACTGCTTCAGGACACTTCTGCATTTCAATACTGTACCTCAGGCTGCACTGGCAACTAACATTGCAATGATGTAGCTAGGACACTGTGCACTCAGGGACATACACATACCTCACTGACTGGACTATCTCTTCGCTTGCTATCATCTCCTTGACTCACGTGACGGCTGCCTGGATGCTTATAGCATCTCTGCACTAGATTGTTTGGCATTGCCTTCTTGTGCTTTGACCCAGTTAGCTAGAGATACACGGCTTATTTAACTTCTATCCTGCCTTACTGTTTAGCACAGAGACAAAGGAAGGAAGATTGTCATGGTTGTCAGCAGTTCTCAGTCAAGTAACGGGGACAGCCTTAGTTCAGGGGCTCCTGGCACATAAAGGCAATGGCAGCCTTTGATACTAGTTCAGACGCTTCGGAATGGTCAGTCAATCACTAGGGACAGTCAGAGTCAGGATCCTCTCCACCTACAGTTGGCAGCCCACCACCCATTTTGAATCTTACTGACCTAATGAGGACTGTTTTCCTCCTGAAATGAGAGAGGGGCAGGTATTAAGGGAGATGAAAGGGGATGACAGCTCTTCAAGTGTGGAGGTGTCCTGAGCAACGGATTAGGCAGCACACGGGGCATGCAGGGTGAGTGGTGTTGGGAGTTGGGATGGGTGTCAGCAAGTGAAGGAAGATATTGCAGGCAATAGCGAGAGTGGTAGAGCACGAGCCTTGGGAGATGAAATTACAGTAACAGATCTCGAGTGAGTGTGACGTTATCAGAGAGAAGATGTGACACAATGGTGGAGTGAAAAAAATTTTGACTTTCTTCCTACATTGCTATGTCTTCCTCCAGACAGCTGAGACTGCACTGACCTGGCCAGGCTGGCATAGTCTGGTATGATGGCCTCCATTACTGGTCCTGAAAGAAGAGCAAGTCCCTTTTCCAACAGGATCTCCAGGACCCTGCCCTCATGGTGCAATGCTGATTTCCCTGGTCTGGAGAAAATATCAGCAATCGTGCAGGGGCAGCTCGGGACTGACAGTGCACGACTGGGTGCACCAGTGGCTTTTAAAGACAGTGCTGGTGAATTCTGGGATATCTGTTGAGTGGCGAATTGTTTGGAGAACATGGCATCGTAAAGTGGGGCTGGAATCGGACATGAGGTACATCATAGGGGGCAGTAGATAGTTAATGAGGTGAATTTGGTAAGATACAGCAAGAAAACTTTATGGCAGAAATTCCCCCAAACTAACTCGACACTACTCGGACTTTAGCAAAACAGTAATGTACAGCCCTCTGTACCAATAAGAAGGTGCTGAATTACCAGTATCTGCTGGTCCTACAAATAGGTAATATAGTTCATATCGAATTCTCAGGAGGACCATGTTATTCAGACCATGTTAATCCATTGGTATCCTAGTTCCTTTCTTCCAGGAAGATAATCACAAAATCCAAGTCCTTTCCCTAGGGGAGCAATTCAACACATCCTTATGCTGACCCATAGGGGTGAAAGTCGAGTTGAGAGAAAAAAGACTAGATTTAGTTCTTTCAGAGAAAGAGTATACAAATATGAAAAAGATAAATATATAAATACACAAATACCTTTAAGGTATGTAAGGATATTAGGAGGTGCCTTGAATATAGACCAGAATGGCCAATTACCTGCTGTCAGTCCTTGTACATTCAAAAAATAGAATTTTAATACAGGAATATAAAGGTAAAATAACCTTGTGCTACATCATTACTGAAGGACAATTCTGTTTAAAACAATCAAACATCTGTACTGGCGAAAGGCTCATCAATTGCCCTAGGTCATGCAAGGATGGGTTGGAGAGTAAGACCAGGTGGAAATTCACAAAGCTTCGTGTCTGGTCAAGTGGGATGATAGGTTCCTGTCTCCAGATGAACAGTTAGCCACAGCTGCTTCCATAGACCACCCTACGGAGAAGCTTCCCCTACACAAGGGTGGCCTGGCAGCAGTGACCACGATTCACTTTGCTAAATTAAGAGCTTCTTCAGAGACCACCTCAAGGTCGAGACTCCCTTGCAGTTCCCAGCCATCCCTGATAGTGAGACTGCTTTCTTTCCAATGCTGTCGGCTCTCAGATCGGCCAGCAGCCTCAGAAGCCAGACAATGGACCCAGTGATGGCCTGTTAATTTGCTGTTTGTGGGAAGAGTTCATGGACCAACACCATGGCAATCAGTTAGGGCCTGAAAATTGTCTTGACTGGTCAGTGTTTTTTTAAAGGGTACTGGCTGCCATGAGCATCTTTGAAAGTTTCTTTTGTTTAGTTAACTATTCTTTCACAAAAGATACAATGGATGTATCCCGAACATAAAATGGCCGTACGCGCTTTCACTAGTTTACATTTATTTTTGAGCTTGGTTTCTACCCCGCACCTGTTAGAAGGATCTAACATGGCATATTTAGAGGCTCCATTGAGCAGTACAAGATATCCTTATTGCAGGATTTAAGTATTTGAAATAGAAACAGAAATAGACCAGTCAGCGCCTTGAGCCTTCTCCATCATTCAGTAAGATCCTAGCTGACCTGTTTGTGTTACCCATCTACTCCAAATAACCCTTGATTTCCCTTGCCTGAAGAGTCTCTCCTGCTCTGACTTAAAAATATTCAATGATACCGTCTCTACTGCTTTTTGGGACAGAGTTCCAAAGTCGCACACCCCTCTGAGAGAAAAGAATTCTGTGCATCTCAGCACTGAAATGGAGTCCCCTAAATTTAATACAGTGCAATCTAGTTCTGGACTGACCCACAAAGGAAACATCTCTTCCACATCCACCTTGTCAAGATCATTCAGGATCTTATACAGTTCAGTGAAGCCACCCTTCAATTCTTCTGGATTTCAGTGGAAATAAACCCAGCCTGTCCAACATCCTCTTAAGATAACCCACTCATTCCAGGTATCAATCTAGTAAACCTCCTCTGAACTGCCTCCCATACATTTACATCCTCCCTTAAATAAGAAAACCAAAGTTGCACACATGAATTTAAGATGTGTCTCAAAATGCCACTAGTGAATTGTACAGTTGTAGCAAAAAAGCTTCCTTACCATATCATTCCTTGATTGAAGATAAGCCCCAGAACATTTCCACTGATGTCAAACTCAGTATACGAAGGCTAAAGTTTGAAGGGTAAATGTACAATTTTAATGGAGATGAAGCAACAGTATAAGATGTGTCTGCATGTCATATCCAATACATTTATTTTCATAAAATATACTTACAAATCCATACTCCAGATCCCAGCACCAGCAATAGTTAATAAATCTGACAAAGAGAGCACGTAGAAAATCCCCAACCAATATACTGCCATAAGTTACGAGAATGTCAGAGACAGTAAGCTTTGTAAATTCCTGCAAATTAAAGGCCGCATTACTCAACAAAGAGTGCAATTATCAAACATTTCAATGATATTAAGCTTTAACTTTTCAACAACATTTATCAAAACAAAATTGTTTTTGAAGCAAAAAGTGTATAACTTTCTCCCTATTAGCACAGTTGCAAATTTACCAAAATAGTTATGAACCATGTACATGAGGCTGAGTTAACTGGCAGAGTGGTGGGTCCATCGCTGAAGGCAACATTGCCCATGATTCCTAGGCACCCTAACACAATTAAAAGCCAATCAAGCAGTTACCTGGTTGGTGCCAGCTCTCTCAGATCCTGTAGGAGGGATGTTGTGCCTCCAAGAACTGCTGATTAACCAGAAGACAGCATATCGTACGGTATTAGCAGCTCCACCACACATGATGGCTACGGTCAGTACTGCAGTGGACCCCAGGAGAAGGAGCAGCTGTGGAGCCTCGGAACAAAGCAAGTCAGAGGCCTTGGTTAGGCCAGTCAGACACGTCTGGCAAAGAGGGCATTCGCTCAAAGGACAATTGGGTCTTCTACAAGAGCGGCAGCTTGCTCTGTCAAGTAGGAGGACCACTCCAGACCATGAAAGGTTAACCTGAGTAAAAATTGCAGCCCACTGCCCACAATTGGCTAAAAGATTGGAAGACTTTCCCTCCCCTTTCCCAACCCTGAGATTATCTTGGGGAGTCAAGAGGTGATGGGATCACCAACACATCCCTTCCTGCCTTATTATATAGCCCCACCACTGCCTAATCACTACCACTCCTGCAAGGGTGAGGGCCATTAAACAGGACCCATTATTACACAAAAACCTAGTGAACCTTCAGTGGTACATGGATGTATCTTGAGCTATGATGTGAAAATTACCTGAATACATTAAAGCAGAAAAATTTAGAATACATTTCTACAGTACAGGTTCAAATATCTTACCAATCCAACACCTGTTTCCCAGCAAGGTCCCCTGGGAAAATCTGCAGGATCTATTGCAGGAATGCTTTCTGAGGTTGAATTAGTAAAATTGAAGGAATTCACCAAGACTAAAGTCTTATTCTTTATACTTTCTTCCTCTGCCAACTGAAAAAAGCCAAACAAAACACTTTCAGGGTATTAATACATATTTGTAGGAATAAAAACGGAATGTACTGGAGAAACTCAGCGGCTCTGGCAGCATCTGTAGACAGAGAAACAGAATTAATATTTAGAAGCTAATATGAATTTTTCTCAGAAGAGTTTTGGATAAGTATCTGCAGCACTTTCTGGCTTTATTATCAGATCTCCAGCAACCACAGTACATTGTTCTTATTTACGTATTTATCTACATTTTAAGGCATTTGTTTAGCAAACAATGCACTTAGATCTTGCGCTCAGCTGTAACCCACTTGGGTTCAGCCTTGTTCCAACCCAGGTTTTAGGATAATTGTCTTTGAAATAATTTTGAGATGTGACCAAATAAGGGCTGAAAACATCACCTACATCTTGGAATATCTGGCAGCTCCTAAGGTTATTTAATATGGGCAAGACTTTTGTTGGAAAATTGACAGGATTCAGGAGAGCGTTGAGTCAATTTGATTGCATTGTTATAGATTTAATTATCTTCCCTCAGCCGCTTACATTTTAAAACTTTTCCTGCACTCTCAGAAACAAAGCTGGACACCAGATACACACAGATGGCTCATGTTCAACTTTGTAATGCACAAATGAATGAAAACACATTGATGCATGTATGAAGTAGTTTCATGATTAATCAGCAATTAGAATAGATTCACTTAAATTTGGTTGGATGCAAAACAGATACAACATGTGGCCACAGCAACTCCTGACAAATTTCTCATGCATAAACCTTCATTACATGGCGTTTGGAAGCCCTCAAATATGATCTTATTACAGATTCTTTATAATTGAGAATTCTTTCTCCTATGTGTCTATTTTCATATTGTCCAGAGCATACCAGTAAATGGTGGTACCAGTAAATTAAAAATTCTAGCTGCACAGTTCATAACAGCAATAGGAATCAAACTAAAACATATCTTAATACGTACTGTAACTTACAGAGATTCTCCGAGACCCCTCCATCTTTGACTATTTCACTGTAAACTATGAGGGAATAGTATTGCAAACTTTTAGCCAGTTCTTTTACAATCACTTCAGACCAACAGCACCAGAATTTTATGTAAGTAACATGATGCTTAAGGGGGATATTGAAGTTCCTGGTTTGTCAACTATTTGGGTTAGTGGAGTAATGAATAATGAAAATATTACTGTATTTGATTACAGGAATTAAAGGACATTAGTGAGGCCTCTTCTGGAATACTGTGTCCAATTGGGTCACCTGTTATAAGAAAGATATTATAAAGCTAGAGAGGGTTCAGAAAAGAGTTCCCAGAATGTTGCTGGGTTTGGAAGGTTTGAGTAATAAAGAAAGGCTGGATTGGCTGGGACTTTTTTCACTGGAGTGTAGGAGGTTGAGAGATAACCTAACTTATAAAATAATGAGAGGTATAGATAGAGTTAATGGCAGTTGTCTTTTCCCTAGGATGGGGTATTTCAAGACTAGGGGGCACATTTTAAGGTGAGAGGAGACAGATTTAAAAAAGATACTAGGGGCAATTTTTTTACACAGAGGGTGGTTCGCACGTGGGATGAACTTCCTGAGGAAATGCAGGTAAAATTACAATGTTTGAAAGACATTTAGATAGGTACACGAATAGGAAAGGTTTTGAGGAATATGGGCCAGGAGCAGCAGGTGGGACTAGTTTAGTTTGGGATTATGTTCGGCATGGACTGGTTGGACCGAGGGGTCTGTTTGTGGACTGTATGACTTTATTAATAGGTCTATAAGATTTTCCGAAAGAGTAGTAAACATGAGGATTGAGCAAACTCACTGAAGAAACAGATAAAGACGAGAAAATATAGAATGAGAAATATAAAGGTAGACCATAAATTTTTCTATTGAACTGCAGGCAAAAGCAGGATAAATGGTAGTAGGGAGAACAGAAATAGCAGAGACATGAAACACGTATTTGAGCCAGATTTTCAATTGCCAGTAGGGGCAGAGAAGGAATGAGTTCAAGCATGATATGGATACCACATTCCTGGATGCCAGTACTGAATCCCCTGACCATCGGAATGCAATTCAATGGGATGGTGATTTGGAAACTTCCATACCTTCAATGGAATACCTCTTAAGCTATTTACAGAGCCTTTAAAAAGACTTCATTAGACTAGTTTTGAATTTTCAATTGACAGGTAGGAGGAACATTTAGTCCCTAGTTGACGTTAGGATGAACCGATCATGCGCACAGTAGGGAGCTATCAGAGTTAAAGGAAACTCTAGACAATTTATTTAAAACTCGATGGGACAATTACGTTTAGTTGCTGAGCCTGCACTTCTGATTCTGAGATGCTTGGATTTCTTATGAGTTGAGATTGCGATCCTGTAAGGGGTGCAGGATGTTAACGCCAGAAAGAACAGCAGAACCTGGCAGTGGAAGGTCTGCTCCACCACACCCAATACTTCACCCTACATGGCCATGTGTTGGAACAGACACAGAACTCTACCTCGTTTCTGCAGCATTTCCCAGTTATTGTACATGTGCAACTGCAGCAGGATGAAGAGTGCATAATGCATGATTAGACTTCCCTCCCTCAGCTCCCACAATATATCTGGACAGAGCTGTTGCGTTGCTGAGTCATGCTCTCTTCTCATTTTCATCTAAAGTGTGAAGGTTATTGATATTTCTGATTTAACTTGCTCTTTTGGGTATGCAGCCCACTGAGTTCTTGCAGATGCTGCTTTGGACAGGGTTAGAGACTTGTCATCTGATGCTGCTCAACACTGACCTTCTAAGACCTTATAAGGTCATTGAAGAGTTTGTGGCACTAGAACACACATCCTCCCAGTGGCACTATTGCAGCTCACTTTTCCTCACTTCCAGCCACTCTCTTTGTGCTCCTGGGGTTGTATGTTCTGAATGGAGTTTGAAAGAAAATTTGTCTCCTCTTAATTACATCCATGGTGAGGACCTATCGCAATCTAGGTTTTCAGTAGTCTACAGCATTTGGGGATGTAATTGTTTTGATCATCCAAAATTCTCTACAGGCCAAGTCTTCTTCTTTTTGGAAGGTCAAAGGTTGGCTATACAACTGAAAAAGCATGTTGTGACCCTGTAGAAGTGCTGAGATGCTGACTCGTGTGGAGATTGCCTGGGAGCTCTAAAAGCTGTGGAAGCTCCATCGTTGCAGGCTATTTCAAGTGGACCTGTTCACTTGGTTAGAAAGAATAAAAAAGCAGAACATCACTAAAATCGATATCAGAATTGGGGTGGCACAGTGGCTCAGTGGTTAGTACTGCTGCCTCACAGTGCTAGAGACCTGAGTTCAATTCCAATCTTGGGTGACTGTCTGTTTGGAATTTGCATGTTATCCCCATATCTGTGTGAGTTTCTGCTGGGTGCTCCGGTTTCCTCCCACAGTCCAAAGATGTGCAGTTTAGGTGGATTGCCCATAGTGTCCAGGGATGTATAGGTTAGGTGCATTAGCAATGGGGAATGCAGGGTTATAGGGATGAGGAATGGGGATGGGTCTGGGTGGAATTCTCTTCGGAGGGTCGGTGTGGACTTGTTGGGCTGAATGGCCTGTTTTGACACTGTAGGGATTCTATAAATAAAAAAAGTTCCAAAGTGCAGAGGGATTTAGGTGTACTAATGCATGAGTCAGAAAATGTTAGGATGCAGCTACAGCAAGTAATCAAGAAGGCTAACAGGGTTTATCCTTCACAATCAGAGGAATTGAACCGACAAGTAAGAAGGTTATGCTTCAGTTACAAAAGGCATTAGTGAGACCACATCTCAAAGACTGTAGCAGTTTTGTTCTCCTTATTTGAGGAAAGATGTAAATGTATTGGACACAGTTCAGAGGAGGTTTATTAGATTGATACCTGGAATGAATGGGTTGTCTTATGAGGATGGTACAGGGTGGCATTGTTTCCACTGGAGTTTAGAAGAGTTAGAGGTGACTTGATTGAAGTTTTTAAGATCCCAAGTGGCCTTGACAGGTTGATTAAGCTGCAATTTGTTACAGACCTGTAAGTGCAGAACAGCCAGAGAAGACATCTCTGAAGACATCTCTCTTGCTCTCTCTGCCTTTTCTAAGTGTGAGTTAAAAAGCCAGAAAAATCTAGAAAACTTACAGGAAAACATTCTAATATCAGGAAAGACATAGGTCCACCAGGTCAACCATTGAAGTGAAAACCAATCTTTGCTTTACAAACAACAGCATATCATAATTGATTAAATCAAGGAAACCGTGAAAGATAATTTAATACACCCTTGTGATATGGACTTTTGGCCTTCTGAATTTTGCTGCCTGTCTATATTTTTGCAATAATAATATTTGCATCAAATTGTCTGTCTTTAGTCTGTTTTATTTGTGAATTAGTGCGTGGATTCTAAAGAGGTATAGTTTAATTTACATAGTAGCAGATTATCAATCCTTTATTTTCTCTGCCATTTGTTAAAGTTAAGTGTGTTATAATAATTTGAGTTATTTTCTGTTAATGACAAAACCTGAAGTGAATTGCTTTAGTCCTGCATAGCAGTCAGGCAAATTGATCATCTTCATTGTCTCGACAACGGGACATGATTATTGGTGCACTCTTCTGAGTTAAACCGCACCAGAGTGCATGTTCGAGGGGGAAATGCTTTACCTCTATTCCTAGATCATATATTCATATGCTAGACAATTTTAAAGACTCAAAACAATCCGAATGAAGACACTTCTCTACCATTCAGTTCTAAATGCTCTTACAACCTGCCTTTATATCCCTGTTTAGTCTTCTCTCATTTTCCATGTTCATAAAACTGTTGAAAACACAAAAAAATTGGCAGAAGAAAAGTTCAACCATATTCGTGTACCACATACAAGAATGCCATGTAGCTGGTAATTTTTTTAATTCTGTTTTTGAAACCATCACTCTATTTGTGGCTATGATGTTAACAACTACTTTTATGGTATATTTTATGGCACCTGCTTATTTCAAACAGCAACAGGAGTCACCTGAAATATCAGCCAGGGCATGTATTCAGTGGATGACCAATGCACTTTACAGGGGGAACCTGTGGAATTCATTGAGTACATGCAGATGCTTCAATACACAATGCATGCTGCAATAACAGGCCCAAGACCATTTTGTTGATGTTTATCCCATATCATTCCTTATGTAAAACTACACAAAAGGAATCATACCAGAGTGATCATCAGCTAGAAAACTCCAATTGACTGCACCTTCCCATACTCTACCAACCATATTCAAAAATATATCACACCTACATGGCAACCAATATGACTAATTTTCTACATCAGTGGAAGGTCACATGTACAGTTATTCCATCTGCTATAAAAACATTGTTTTTGGCCAACATGTCAGTAGTACTTATTAGTTAAGGCTATGCAGCAGATAGGGTTGCTTAGCTATTTATTTCTGCCCATCATTGCCTAATCTCCTGTCCTGTCAGTCACAGTAAAGCCTGCTAGTGGAAATTGAAACCATGGTTAAGCAGTGCAAAGTCACCTTGCAATAAAAATATACCAAAGGATATAGCAAAGTAATAAAAAGAATAGTTCACCTGTGCATTGACTTGATCAATAAGTGCCAGCAGGAATGTATACAGGTTACCAAGAAAAAGAGCAAACATTCGCCAAAGCTGCCACTTCAGTGCAATACGGGGATGATAATTTTCCAGACCAGCAATGGTTTCAAACAGTGGAGGAACAAACATTCCCAACAAAGCCATGACTATGTCAATCTGCAGGAAGAGCAATAGGTAAGAACAGCCACTGTCACTGTTCTGTCAACTTACTGACATGATATCTGCAAATGTAATTGGCATTGCAAAATCTATATTGAATTCAGCCAAATCAATAAATGTGAACCCTTCTGAATTGAATCATACATGAGAGAACAAATCATAGAACAATGTGAAATGATTATACAGAAGTTGCTTAAAAGACACCTGCCAGGAGTTCCTATTTTGGAGCTGAAGTGTAGCAGTAGGTCTCTTAAACGTTATTACATCAGCCAATACACAAGGTAAGGTTTCTGATCATTCACTCTTCAGCTCTGGTACTTAAGAATCCGTACCAAGGAACCTTGGTACCTAAGGTGGCACCATAAGTGGCGACTTGTAAATTTTTCACTGTACTCATGTGAGTACATGTGACAATAAAGCTAACTCAAATTCAAATTATTTTGTATGAAAACAATTTTTTTTGCTAAATTAAACAGCGAATCATGTGCAGCTGGCAAGCGTTCTTGCCTCTGCATGTACCTTTCAGGGTCAAAGGCTCTGGCACCATTTTTAAAGGTTACCCAGGCACTCCTTCACATGCTGTAAGCCAGGTCAGGCATTGGTTTTCCTTCCATATCCTCATTCCACAGAGATGTCTGCCAAGCCTCATAAGATGGCTTTGTATCTTAGTGATGGCTCTGCTCTAGGCTGTCTAGAACCTGATGGGCAGAAGAAGTCTTCCCATCACAACCAGGAATCCTGCTACCCAATCCGATCAGAAGTCAGTGCTACCTCTAGGTGGCATCAATGCACCAGGATTCGGTGCAGGAAGTGAATGAACGATCTCCTGCACCCCACAAAGTTAAATGTTATTATCATCACACTACAACCTTACCCTCAAAGGGCCATCTATCAGTGTCTGCTGCTACTGTACAGATTTGTCACATCAGCCTGCTAACCTCACCATCACATGACAAATGATGTGGTCTAAGGCTCACATCCACCTTAAATTGATAATGTTCGAGATTTCCTGGGTAGTGCATTTCCTATTCACTTACTGGGAGGGATTAGCACCGAGCAGGACTCCAAGCTCATCAAGTACTCCCATCACACTCAATCTTTCACTCATTTTGCAAGACACACTGGCACACAAGAAAGAAAGAGAAGGACCAGACTGTCTGATGGGTTCCTGATCTCTGTCTCCTTGGCACTTTTGAAGAAGGCGTGGTCCAGCTGGCAGATGAGGACCCTAACTGGTCCCATGCTGGTGGAGAGATCAGAATGGCAGAAGCTAGTGAGGAACACTGTGTTCTGATCTTCACAGAAGTACAGCCACTCTCACACACTCCTGTACATTGTGTTTGCGCATCTTCGTCAACTAATTCTCCCTCTATCGCAGGTATGAGCAGACAACAGACAGCAAAACGGACCAGGCTCCAGACATTGTCCAATGAAGCCGATGAAATCTCAGGGGAGCCATGAGTAAGGTGTTCATCTGCCCCCTTCACCAGCACAGAGACTGTCACCTTGGCAGATATTCTCACTAAATTAGACTCAGGGCACAGCCTGGTGAGCCCATCCCTGACATTTAGATTTAGATTTAGATTTTATTGTCATGTGTGCTCAAGTACACAAGTACAGGAGCACAATGAAAAGTGTATAATGTCACCACACACTGCACTATTTTAGGTACAAAGGTACCTAGGTACAAAAAACTTAGGTACAAATTAGTAAGAAAAACAGAGTAAAAAAGTTAAGCATTGCCATCATAGAATAAGTGGAAAAATAAAGAAGTAAGATAATAGTTAACATTAAAGTCTTTCTTAATTTAAACTAGAAAGTAAAGGAATGTGGCCATATTCCGATGGCCTAGTGGTATTATCACTGGCCTGTTAATCCAGAGACCCAGATAACATTCTGGGGACCCGGGTTCGAATCCCGCCACGGCAGATGATGGAACTTGAATTCAATAAACAAAAATCTGGAATTAAGAATCTAATGATGATCATGAATCCTTTGTCGATTGTCAGGAAAAACCCATCCGGTTCACTAATGTCCTTTAGGGAAGGTAACTGCCATCCTTACCTGGTCTGGCCTACATGTAAATCCAGACACACAGCAATGTGGTTGACTCTTAACTGCCCTCTGGGCAATTAGGGATGGACAATAAATGCTGCCTAGCCAGCGATACCCTCACCCCATGAATGAATAAAGAAAAAAAAATATCTGATGGAAGAAGAAGCAGTCAAGTTCTCTGACACTCGAAGACTGTTGGAAACCAGACACTTATTGAAGCCCATGTGGAAGATCTACCTCTGTACATAGCCATATGCTTCACATGTTCAACCTGCAGAGACAGGCAAGGCAAGATCAGACTGGGATGCTGCAGAGCATTATTAGACTGGAGCAAACATGGAGCATTCCATCCATCTTCTGCCTAATGTAGTGGTTCTGCCATGCAAGAACTCAGTCATGGAAAAGCTGGCAGTGGCTGTCTTGAAGACCCAGATCCAGCAGAACATTCTGCTGGTTAATGCTTGAACCTGCACTCCATTGCTACAGACCGGGCCGCTCAGCGTTAATGTCAAGGTGACAGGGGGATGAGGCACTTGGACGTCATTCCAGGTGTGCCTTCTTCTCAGGGAGACAACAAGCTCCAAAAACAAGAAGGAATGACAGACAGGCATCCCGGGAGTTTTACCTCAGGATACTATAGCAATACCCTACCCTTAGCTCCCCTCTAACAGTGATCCCATTACCTGGAGCAGATCAGGTTGAAGAGCGTATTCTTGCGTCAGTGAAAATACTTTTACAAGCCCAGCACCCTCTACGTTCCAAGGCTACTGAGGCCATAGCCTCCATATTCACCAGAGCATATCATTCACCAGATTCTCTCCACATCAGCTGTGAATATCAAGCTCAGAGCTGGATGTGCTGTTAGGCAAAGGAAGAATAAATCCCTTTGAGAGCCCCTCAGCGATACTGTTTCATTAATTCATAAAACATTACGTTTGTAAATATATTCATTTTCACTGTTCTAATGTTTGCTGTAGTCTAATTACCGCTCTAGACTCCAACTGACTTGTCTAATTTAAAAGCTAATGCAGCATCTTTCTGCACTCTAAAGAGATACAGTCCTTCTATCAGGACTCCTTGAAAGTCTCACTACATTAGCAATGTGTGTGCCCATACTCCCTCAGAGACACACACTTTGTCCTAGCAATTGAACAGCAGGATTTTAGGCCTGGAACAGCTATAGAGTGGGGCCCATTCAGGCACTTTATGAAAATCATACCAAGAGGTGACCACAACAGTGCAGGAATTAAAGGTTATTTTTCCAGTGACAGTCTCCAAAGTCAGGCTCAACATTCTCAGTATGAGGTAGGGAAAGCATACCCGAGAGGTAACTCTCAGCATTCCTTTGGTGAGGTATAGTGTGGAAATGTTAACATTTGTGCACCTCAGGATACTGGATGCTTATCACAAAGAATATGCTGCTATTGCATGTATGTTAAAACTGTATGATTTAAGTTTGTTGTGGAAAGTTTGACAACAACCGATTTTGAAATGGGGAGAGGCAGATTTTATTAAATAAGGCAGGTTCTGGGCAAAGTAGACTGGGAAGAGTTACTTCTGGGTAAATCTACAGCATAACAATTATGGGACGGCATTCAAAATTGAATTGGTGAGAGTATGGGCCCAATGCGTTCCTTTTAGGGTAAAGTGTATGAGCAACAAGCCAAGAGATATCTAGGATATCTAAGAATATTCAGACTCCTAGGAAGGAAAGAGAGGCTTCTAACAGGTAGAAAGGGTCCTTGGTAGAGTGAAGAAAGTGCCAGTGGCAACTTAAGAAAGCAATGAGGAGAGCAAAGAGGAGGCAAGAGAAAACAATGGTAAGATTTGGGAGAATCCCAAGATATTCTATAAGTACATCAATGGGAAGAGGAAAACCAGGAATAGAGTAGTACCTATTAAGGACCAAGGGTGTAAACTGCGTGTGGAGCTGGAGGACATTGGTAGAGTGTGAATGGAGCATTTCACATCTGCAACAAAAATGGAAATTACTGAAAAATCTCAGCAGGTCTAGCAGTATCTGTGAAGAGAAATCAGAGCTAACATTTTGGGTCTAGTGACCCAGTTTCTGTGAGTTTCTTGAGCAGTTCCCAGGATGTGCTCACTGATCGCCAATGTGAGTGCTCCCTGATCCCAGGACATGCTCCTTGATCAGCTTTCTCTTTAATAAGGAGGGGGCTCAGAGTATTGCAACCTTCCATGAGCCTCAGTTCATGGGAGGACCCACTGTGATACAGTTACAGTTCACTCAGAACCTACAGATCTCTGTGCTAGGCTTCCTGCCTCAAAATCATCACATCACAATCAGAAAGTGGAAGATGTGCCTCTCTGGCTTGTTGGGCCATAGCCCTGTTGTTTGGTGTCTGGGAGGGTCTCTCTTGATCATCAGAACATCCTCAGCATCAGCTTCCTCCTCCCACTCCTCCGTCTCATTCTGTGCCAAGATATCTCCTGTTGTCGAGTCAGGTTGTGAAGGGCTATGATGTGAGACACTCTGTCTGGGATGTGCTGCACTGCACTGCTTGACTGGTCATGATATCTGAATCTTCAGATGTTCTATGATCTGCGCCACAATGGCCCTCATGGAAACATGCACAACATTGTACCTCTCCTCAGCATCAGTCTGTCAATTTCTGTCAGGTTTCAGAGTTTGGGGAGGGTGGTCAGTGACCAACTATCTCCATATATGCTAAGGTAGTGCTGAAAGATGTTGTGAGTGTTTTAGAATATGGACATCATGATAGTTGCCTGGATATCGTGTGCAGGCCCACATTATCCTCCTGGTCACAGAGGATCTGTACATTCATGGAGCAGGAGACTTTCCCATTCCTGAAGACTGTTGAATACTGATAGGGTACTCTGATGGCCATAACAGATTTTATGCCATACCTGTGGAAATCCTGCAATAGCAGCAAACCCAACGGCTCTGCCTGCCTGACTCCCTGCATCCTGAGGAAATTAATGCTGCTCCAATATAGAAAATAGGAGTAGGGATAGATATTTAACTGTTCGAGTCTGCTCAACCATTCAATAGATCACGGTTGATTATCCAACACAGTACATTGTCACACTTGCTCTTTGATCCCTTTAGCCCTGAGAACTATAACTCTTTCTTCAAAACATTTAATGTTTTGAACTCAACTGCTTTTTGTGGCAGAGAATTCCACTGGCTCACCACTTTCTGGCTGAAGAAATTTCTTCTCAATTCAGTCCGAAATATCCTTGTATCCTTAGACTGTGACCCCTGGTTCTGGACTCCATGATCATCGGGAACATCTTTCCTATTTTACCCTACCTAGTCCTGACAGAATTTCATAGGCTTCTCTGAGGTGCCCTCTCATTCCTCTAAACACCAGTGAAGATAGTCCTAGCCAACGCAGTCTGTCTTCATACAGCAGTTCTGCTATCCCAAGATAGTTGGTCTCTGTCAATGGGGCAGCTTATAGATTGTATTTGCCACCCTTGCTGTATTGTTTACTTCATAGCTGAGAAATCATGAGTGGCAATCAGAGGAAAGTCTACTTTGGATCCATCAGTTCAAAAGACCATATGGAATGTGATTATGGATTATCTCTGATCTATTGGCCTGCTGGAATTGTAAGGACTGTGGGCAACTGAACGTGATTGTCCATCCACTAGGCTCTGGATTAAAAGGGGACACCGTCAACTGCTCACAATATGAAAATGTCACTGCACAATCCTTATGTATTTGTCTGCAGCCATTCTATTTTGAAGGAGTGTTGTACAATAACCCTGATACTCTTTCTGCTTGCTCATTGAGCACAACGGTCTTCTGAACATCCCGTGCCACACCTCATTCTGCATCTTTCTCATTGGCTTGCATCCATGTGGTCCTGCCAGCCCTTACTTCACCCCTCCCTGGTGCATCAACAAGTACAGTTACCATTAAAACCCCATACCTCTGTTGGAGACCCTCAACACCAAGGTTCATAGGATCATCAGAACCACATAAATTGTGAGCACATTCTTTGCTTTTCTGTATGCAACACCATATTAGATTAGATTTGTGAATAATCTTCTCTATAGTTAAGTATAATAAAGAAGGCCAAAACTTGAACACTAGCAGGAAATGCATATCGTCAAAGCTGATTAACTTTGTAAATAAAAACTGGAAATTTCCATATTCCACTGTGCAAATAGAAATTCAAATAAGTATTGTATCCTTAATAAATAACAATTGAACTTCTTGAAAAGAGAATAAATATGTGGTTTTTTATTCATCCTTGCACTTCATAATCATAGTTTGCCACTTACTTCATTTTTCTGGTACCATGTTAACTCTTCCAATGTTGAATACGTCTGGGACTTTTTCACAACATAAAATATGAGATAGCCACTTCCAGCAAGACAACAAAATATAAGAAAATTAGCTAAAACAATAAGAAATCTCCTCAGGTGAATATTTTCATCTTTTTGGTTTTCTTCTTCATCCACAATAGATTCCTGATAAAATAACATATATTAAAAATAAGGCAACTGCTTTTTAGCAGATATAACTGTATGAGCTATTTTTTTCTGAAGTAATATTTAGATTTCCTTCCAAAATCATTACTTCTTTCAGTTCGAAGGACATAGCAGCAGATGCATGGGAACAATACTGGAAAGTTGCTCTCCAAACCACACACAATCCTGATTTGAAACCATAACACCATCCCTCCTCTGTCATTTGTTCAAAAATTTGAAACTCCCTTCTAATAGTACTGTAGATATACCTATACCACATGGACTGAAGGATCATGCTTTCATTGTTCAAGAGAATGGAAGGGAAGCTGTGGCATCAAATGAGACTTCATTGTCAAAGAGAGAGGAGCCGCACCACAACTCCCTTCTTAAGTAAAGTTAGCAATGTGTAATAAATGGACAAGGTGGGCATTGATGACAGAGTTACTATGACCTAGAGACAGTGTTTAGTTGGGAAAGAGCTAAGGATAGGCAAACTGTGTGGCCAGGTGGTTAAACAGAACTAACATGAGAGATAGTAGGAACTGCAGATGCTGGAAAATCTAAGATAACAAGGTATGGAGCTGGATGAACACAGCAGGCCAAGCAGCATTATAGGAGCAGGAAGGCTGACATTTCAGGCCTAGACCCTTCATCAGAAATGGGGGAGGGGAAGGGTGTTCTGAAATAAATAGGGAGAGAGGGGGAGGCGGATAGAAGATGGATAGAGGAGAATATAGGTGGAGAGGAAACAGACAGGTCAAAGAGCCTCTTTATCACTTCAGCAATGGCAGATTATAAAGACGGTAGTTTTCAACAAACATTCAACACATGAGTCAGGCTGACTAATCAACTGAGGCACAACTAAGCAAAAATATTACATCAATCCCAAGTTTATGACTTCATTGTGCCAAAGTTCTTCTTTTAAATTCTTTGTGCAGTTGCTACTTTATACTGTTGCAAACATCAGTTGTCAAAATGAATTAATATTCCCCGTGCACCACCTACCACATACCACTATCATTCCCACACTGAAACTGGATAGGAACGCTATCTTACCCTCACTTCCTCAGTCTAAATATCCCTCAACTCAGTAATCCTGCTCAGATTGAATACAGCACTTTGACTTTATGACTCTCTGCCGGCATGATCACAGGTCAACTAGTATAAATATAGAATGATAGGTTTCTCATGGCATCATCAAGTCCTCAGACAGTTGTCTTTCCCAATTGCTCCTTGGCGGCGGCTGCTCCAAGTTTTACTGTGTCCCTCAGAAGCCGGACCTTGGAATGTGCCAGTCTGCAACACTCAATTGGGATCAACTCCTTGTTCTGGAAGACCACCAATGTTCGGGCAGACCAAAGAGCATCTTAAACCAAGTTGATGGCCTTCCAGGCCTGGTTGATGTTTGTCTCAGCGTGCAACCCATGGAACAGGCCATAGAGTCCAGTGAAAATATATTGGTAGAAATTAGAAATAAGGAAGGAAAGAACAGTTTGATGGAGTTGTACTATAGGACCCCTCAGTAGTAAAAGAGAAATTGAGAAACAAATATGTAGGGAGATCTCAGATATATGCAAGCATAATAAGGTCATAATATTGGGGGATTTTAATTTTCCAAACATTGACAGGGGCTACCATAATGTTAAAGGTTTGGATGGTGAAGAATTGTCAAATGTGTTCAAGAAAATTTTCTTTATCAATACGTGGATGCTCCTACCAGAGAAGGACTGAAAGTAGATCTTCTTTTGGGCAATAAAGCAGGGCAAGTAACTTAAGTAAAATTGGGGGAACACTTTGGGGCTAGCAATCTTATTTCTACTAGTTTCAAAATGGCCATGAAAAAGGACAAGCCTTCCATAAAAGTTAGTTTTTAACTGGAGTAAGGCAAATTTTAATGGTATGAGACAGAAACTTTCAAAAGTTGATTGGAGTAGACTCTTCACAGGTAAAAGGACGTCTGACAACTGGGAGGCACTCAAGAGTGTGATGATGTGAGTTCAGAGGCATCTTGTTCCTGTTGGGGTGAATGGTAAGGTTGGTAAGATTAAGGAACAATGGATGAATAAAGATATTGTGGTTCTAATCAAGAATAAGACAGAATCTTATTTTAGATATAGACGACCTGGTTCAATTGAATTTATTAATCAATAGCACACTTTATATTGATTAATAAATTCAATTGAACCAGGTCGTCTATATCTAAAATAAGATTCTGTCTTATTCTTGAGGAAGTTACTGGGGCGGGGGGTGCAATTAATGGTGGAGCAGTGGGCGTTGTTTATTTGGATTTTGGTGGGGCTTTTGACGGGGTTCCGTACGGTAGACTGATTGGTGGCGTTGGGTCACATGGGATTTGGGGTGGGCAATTGGATGCATGATTGGCTCCAGGAGACAGAGGGTAACAGTGGAGGTTTGTTTTTCAGGCTGGGGGCATGTGGCCAATGGTGTTCTATGGGGATCGGTTCTGGTTCCTCTCTTATTTGTCATTTATATGGATAACTTAGATGGGAATGTAAGGGCACAGTTGGTGGGTTTGTGGACGACAGCAGGATTGGTGGCGTGGTGGGCAGTGAGGAGGGTTTTCTAGGATTGCAAGGAATCTTGATCAGGTGGACCAATTGGCTGAGGAATGGTGGATGGAGTTCGGTCTGGATGGGTGCAAAGTGTTGCATTTTGGTGCGGTGAACAGGGGTAGGGCTTATATGATTGATGGTAGAGCTTTGGGTGGTGTTGTGGAGAGGTGGGACCTAGGGGTGCAGGTACATAATTCTTGAAAATTTATGTCGCATGTGGACAGGGTGGATGGGGGCATTTGGCACATTTGCCTTTGTTGCTCAGTTCTTTGAGTTTAGGAGTTGGGACATTATGTTAGTTGTGCAGGACGTTTGTGGGGGCCTCTTTTGGAGTATTGTGTCTAGTTCTGGTCGCTCAGTTATAGGAAGGCCTTTTTTCACTGGCATGTTCACTAGGAGGTTGAGGCGCGACCTGATAGAGGTTTGTAAAACAATGAAAGGTATAGATAGAGTTGATGGTAATCGTCTTTTACCTAAAGATGAGGAATTTCAAGACCTGGGGCATAATTTATAAGGTGAGAGGAGAGAGATTTTAAAAAAGACAGCAGAGGCAAATTTTTTACACAGAGGGTGGTTCACGTGTGGAATAAACTTCCCAAGGAAGTGGTGGATGCGGATAGAATTACAACATTTAAAAGACATTTGGATGGATACATGAGTAGGAAAGATTTGGAGGATTTGGGCCAGGAGAAGGCAGGTGGGACTAGTTTTATTTAGGATATCTAGTCGGCATGGATGATTTGGACCGAAGGGTCTGTTTCTGTGCTGTATACCTCTATTACTGATCTCCATTGACATTACCACTTTTGCCAAGCTCCCTATTATCAATATCATGGGTATCACCATTATGCAGGAACTGAAATGGACCAGCCATGTTAATATCGTGGCTACAAGATCAGGGCAAAGACTAGCTTCACTACAGTAAGTGATTCACCCTTAAGCATCTAAAAGCCTTTACACTGTTTATGCAGTTGCCAGGCAGTGATGTTCAAGCCATTTTCTTGGATAGTTACAACACCAAAGAAGTGAATACTTTCCACAAACAGAAGCCTGTTTAACCACCAGCTCTTTTACTGGAATCAATATCTCATATTCTCCACTACCAGCTGTAACAGCCTATGTACAGGATGCAATACTGTAACCCACCAAGGTTACTTTCACAGAACCTTCATACTCTGTACTCTCTACTACTGAGATGGACAACAGCACCAATGTTGAACTGTCTCCTTCTAGTCACACACCATCATGAATTAGATATGTACTGCCATTTCTGCCTGACTGCTGAGTCAATATCACAGAATTCCTACCTCACACCATTATGTGAGCAGCATTGATATAAGGCTGCAGTAGTTCAAGGAGAAAGGCCATCTCTGAAAAGGCAAAGATTTCCTCAAATTCCAGGTGAGCAGAAGAAGGGATTTACTCAAGTTGATATGATTTTCACATTTAAACTCTTACTAAAAAGTCATCGTCATTACAAATAATAATGATTTAATTTGCCACAGTTTTAAACTTACCTTAAAGCTAGTTGTAATGGATGCAAACTTGTTATCAGCTGTTTCAGGATTTCCAATTAGGTAATCCCAACTTGTAAACATTTTCCAACTAAAATTGAACTCTCCATCATCTCCATCAATTCCACTTTCTCTTGCATTTCTTGCCATTCTGCACAGAACCAAAATTGTCAAGTGAACAGGAATTACTTTATCAAGTATTTTGTACATATACACATGTATTTGAAATTTGCACCTACTGAATGAAGTTCAGATAATAGTGGAAAATATCTTAAACTTTGTGGCTTATGTAACAAAGCTCTCAATTAAAACTCTTCATTAATTATTTTCTCTGGAATAACTGATTTGGCCTATTCCTTGGTGGATTTGATAACATCTGTGCAAGAATTCAAACATGCCTTCCAAATTTATTCAATACTTACGTTCTAATCACAACCATGAGACTATATCCAAAGGATCCCACACCAACCATAAAATAAGACAAGGGTAACCTGTACTTGAAAACGCCAATCATACGTTCATTATTGTAATATCCATAGAAAAGAGCTGAGTACTTTATATATCCCTGAAAAATACAAAAGCATTTATGTTTTAATAATCGTGCTATACATATATTTTAAACTTTAATGTTCAGACTTGATCTTATTGCATATAATCCATTCAAACTGGTGCAGGATATTTTATTATCCATCCACATGTTAATAATAAAATAATATTTCATTTATGGATGCCATAATAGTATACTTCATGCCATAATTTTAAGTAATTAGGAAATAATAATTTACCTAGAATATCATCGTATAGTCAGATAGTGTCAGCATATTTTAGCAAAATGGAAATCATGTTTGACAAATTTGAGAATATATCCAAGTTTTCCTAAGATACAAAATAAAGTTCCAATGTCAGCCATGAGATCAATTCAACAAGGCAATAAAAGAAGATTGACAAGTAAATGGAAACCACAATAGTAGTATAAACAAAGGGTAAATTTGCCATGGTCTTACCAGACCATAGGGCTGCTCCCTCATTAGAGAGAAATGACTGGTGGTAGTTTAACCTGAGGGTCACTGTGCCTCAGGCAAGGGGAAATGTTGAGAAAGTCCTTCATGATAACCTCAGCCAGTGCAGGAATTGAACACACGCTGTTGGCATCACACTGCATCACCAAGCAACATCTGAGCTAAGTGACATCCATAGAGTATAAATAAAAAAGAGTAGGAAGTACTTTGAGAAAGTGTGAAATATTTAAATGCTAATGGTCAAAGAGACCTATGCACCTTCATACAAGAAACTCAGAAATTTAGCATACTGGTATAAAGATGATTGACAAAAGGGTGGAAGTGGAAGGAGAAGACATTCAAGGGGGTTAGACTTTATTTAAAAGATAACTTCTTAAGTACTGTGTGCACTTTCAATTTACAGATTTAAAGCATGCAATTGCCTTGGAGGTGGTACAACAAACAATGAAGAAATTGTTTCCTTGATGGAAGAGTTGTTTTTTGATAAAAGGCTCAGTAAATTATGGCAAAAAATCTCCAAAGATTACAAAGGATGAGAGACCATTTCACTGAAGCAGTTCTGAAGAGGTTTGACAGGAAGGTACTGAGAAGTTGAATCCAATGGCGAAGGAACTAGAGCAGAGGAGTGGAGACACATAGCCTCAAGATAAGGACTTAATTAATTTAGAACTGAAATGAGGAGAAATTTTGTCACTCTAAGCATTGTAAATATTTGAAATTTTCTAATCCAGAGAATTTTGGATGTTCAATTAACGAGTGTATTCAAGAAGAAAATAGATAAAGAGACAAGAAAGATGGGATTGGACAGGAAAGTGGAGTCAAAACAAAAGATGAGCCAT